GGGAAAAACCATCAGAAAAGTTGTTTGGTATTCAGGAGATTAGAAAAATAAACAAGATGGGTAAGAGGATGAAAAACATCTGCAGGAGGGAGTGAGTTGCATTTCTTCGGCTCTGTCTGAGCTTTGAGCCTTTCTTCCTGCTGTCAGCAGCCGACAAACTCACCTTGCTTCTGGGTGTGTGTTTCAGGTTTACCTGCATCAACAAACGATGACTTTCTACAGGGACCTCTATGATGATGGGTGCAATTCACCATTTGGCTATGAAGATCACTATGGTTTTGGGGGCCTGAATGACTACCGATTTGGGAGCCCATATGGCTACTATCGGGACCAGTACCGATACAGCAGCCCATACAACTACAGAAGCTTTGGGAGCCTGAATGGGAACAGAGGCTTGATTGGTAGTGGGGACCATTACGGGTATGGGGACTTCTATGGATTTGGGTACGGCTACCCCTTCTCTTCTCATTTTGGAAACAGATACAGTTATTGAAACTGCTACCCATGCTGAACCAGCAGAAATAGCAACTAAGAAATGAAATTCAGGACATGGTTTAACGGCTAAGGTTATGGTGCTGAGAAACACTGAGCACCCATGACTCTCTGAGTTTAGTGGGAAATGTGGGTGCCAGGCTGCGTAAGACTACCCCATACATAACCATCTCTAATATCTCCTGTTTCTTCAACTAGTAGTCTAAAGGGAACTTGAATTACAGCAAGTAGAGGCATCTTTACAGCATGCTGAGGGAGTAGAGCAAGACTTTCAGGTGTGAGTGCAGTGCCTTTTAAGCTAATTCACAGCCACCTCGTATTATCACAGTAATAGGAGGTTCTGCAACCACCATGAACAAGTCTACTTTACTTAGCTACAAACTTCACCAAAGATGACGTTTAGTAGAGAAGCTTCTGTTATATATATATCCATGCTGCGCTTCATCTGGCAGTGAACACGATTTACAAGCAACTCTGAAACATGTCTGGACTGTCAAACTCCACTATTTCCACAAGAAGAAAGCATCATCCAACATCAGATACACCCTGCTTGCTGAAGACCCTTTTGTAAAACTGCAAACTTATTCCTTCTGTTACTCACTGTTTCTCATTTTCATTAAAATTACTCTGCTTAATAGCATCAGATGTCCAGTCTTCACCTTTTTTCTGTGCTTATACACCACGGTAAAGGGACCAGCAGCATTGCCACTCTAACCAACCATGCAATAAAAGGGAGGTCTAGACTCCAGATGTTAGAGAGTATCACCACATCTCCATCTGAAATGCTCCAGCCCCAACTCATTTTCCAGAGTAGGAAGAAGTTCTACCTTATTTTAACTAACCTGTGACCCTGGGTTTACACAAATGCCTCTCCAGAAAAGGGCATCACCTGACTGCCTGTACTACCAAACACACACGTTCCTGAAGCAATTAGGATTTTGTGCTTGAAAAATAACTTTCAAAAGCAAGAGGTTGAGTGGAAGTCTCATGGTCTGCCAAGGAAAGACAGCAATGTCACTCAAGGTTAAAGACACCTAAGAGAAAAGACCAAAGGCAACCAAGCCATGACCATCTGCTGAAGGATCATCTCCTTTGCAAACTGAACAGCCAGGTTATTCAGGGAGTTCCTGTCAGCCTCTACCATGTCACCTCAGGAGACTGAGTAGTCCTGATTTAGATTTATAATATTAAAATTATAATCTGGCACGGAATAAGGTGGCTCCACAAGCATAGCCTAGACAAAACTGCATGGATCCCATGCAAGCCCAGTTATACATCAAAGACATTACCAGCACTCAAAGGTCCTGTTGCAGAAGTGACTGTAAGCAGGCACCTCTAGGCTGATTTTCAAGACATACCCTACATGGCTACTCCTTCTCTTCTCACGGTGGCCACCCGCACGTGTATTTCTGCTGAATTTCAGCTGACAGAGCAAAGTGGAGGAAACGATCAAGAAAATAACTAACAGAGCAGACGGGAGAAGCCCTTTCATAGGCAGAAAAACAACGATAGTTAGCAGAACAGTCCCTGAACTGTAAATGCTATTCCTCCAGTCCAAAGTCCACTTCGTTACATCCACGTCATTGCTTTCACTTAAACCTTTAGACCTTGAACTGGACCATAGAATATGAGCCCCACAGATCCATTTCCTTGTCTGGGAAGGAGCAGCCACAGCCAAGAGATGGGTCTGGTCCACTGCCTCGTTGCTCAGAACTCACCTCTGTGTCCTAGTTTGAGCAAAGCGGCTGGACCAGGACACTCCGGGAAGAGGGCGAGGGCAGCAACCTCCACCCTAGCCTCCTAGTAGGGCACATCAGCAGTAAATCAGTACAACCCTTTGAAAACAGCAAAGCTATTAAGACATCTTTTCTAATCCTTCTGCTAGCTTCTGTCAGCAGCAAAAAGGGTTGGGTTCCCCAGGGAAAATATTAAGAAATGGTAGAGTCTCCCAGCACAATAAATTCAGCTTATCTACCTTGGCTGCCCTCCGGCACACAAGGCTTTTCCTACCTGCACATACAGTGCAGAAGAGCTTACTCAGAGATGCACAGGAAGAGAGACAGAATAAAATACAGAACACCAAAGATTTTGGGTGAAATTCTCAGCCCACTCAGGCTCCTTTGACCCTGAACTTAACATCACATCCCTGTTCACATTTGCCAATGCAGCAGTATTGATGTTTCTTCACTTCACCACATCCCACTCGGTTCATTACCAGAAGCACTATCACTTCTGACCATGGGTGCAGCCACCCCCCTCCTTCTTGCTTTGAAGATGCCACTGCTCTAGGTGCGACTCCAGCTCGGTACACCCCGATGCACCTCGCTGCTGCCTCCCAGCTTAGCAAACCTCATCCCCCCCGCCCCCCTTGCTCTCCCTCTGCTCCAGGGATCCAGGGCACAGCTGGGATCTCCTGCCCTGCTGCAGGTCAGCCTCATGCAAACACTGAGACCCAACCACCACACAGGGAGGGAAACAAATTTCTCACCCCGGGTGCCCGTACCACTGGGTTCTCAGCCTTTAGGTACCAACCAGGGACTCGATCATTTGATCACTTATTCAAGAACATCAGGTGATTCAACAAGTCCCAAATCATTGCAGAATTGGGGTCCAGACCTTTTTCTGGCCTTGCAAGCATCAGTCCCATAGCACTGACATTCATTTCCCATGGATCCTTCCTAAGATCTTGGGAAGTTCCAAGTCTCTCATACACCTGCTCAGTGGCGCATGAAGAGCATTTTCCCTGTTTCATAGGGTTTTATGCCCTAAGGCTTGAGAAAAGTTGGATGATTAGAGGAACTTCGTGCCTGCCTCTGAGATATTATCATAACAGATGACAGACGGCTAATTTAGCTAACAGAAAACTAACTCCAGTAATTTCATTTAAACTTCTGAATGCCAGTCTGAAGCCGGATGTATTTACTGCGTGCGTGTGGGAAAAATTACCAATGTAAATGCACCTTGTGAACAACCCACACGGAGGCATGCTGCAGGGTATGCCTCCAGCACAAAGATTGAGAATCATTTTTAAAGAGTAAACTTAACCCAAATGAGAAATTGGGCCCCTGACTGTTGCACAAACTGGACTAGAACATTTTTCAAAGTATTTCTTAGAGCATGTAATATCACAGCAAACCCTTTTAAGAAAAGGGTAAAGTGGACCATGGTATAAGAAAAATGGCTTTACTGGAAATGAGAGAAACAAGAAGTATTTCAAAATTCACCTTATTTAGATGAATAGTCTTATCCCATAATGCAATAATGAGCCTAAGAGATATTAACAAATACTTCCATCTTAAAAAGACATTGGTAGCTTCTTAGTACGATACTTGATATCTTTATTCCTCTGAAAGCCTCAGAGTATTTCACATACAGTAGCTTTTATATCAAAATGAATAAAAGGTGTGTTATAAATAGTTTCCCAGAAATCCACTTGCAAAATTTCTTAATTTTACCAGCACTTTTTTGGTAACCACAAGTCTCAACTTATTACATGGAAAGTGCATCTTGAGAGGCCTCAAAAATAAACTTCAGTTCATTTCCAAATACACCGTTAGCATAACAATAAAGATTCCTTCATCTGGCTTTTGAGGTTTGGGGGATTTCTGTTCAGTAGGGAAGGATTTATGTGGTTGGTGAGAATGCGGTTTAATCACCTCATCTAAGGCTCACCAACAATTACACACTATTACAATGACTGGTCAACTTTGTTTTCCTTGCACGTAAGGATAATAATTCTCCAAAGGGTGACTACTACAAAATAATCGAGCATTCTCATGTCAGCTTGAGATACTGAATTATACTGTTTCTGTAACAGATTATTAATACACTACATAACATTTCAAACACATACAGCGGCATGGAAAGCTTGTGAAGTGTTTATTATCAATACATCCCTGAAGAAATTCAAAATTCCGTGAATAAACATCACGATCCACTTTCACATGGATAGGTTACATTGTTGTAAAACCTTGAGCAGAGCAGTAAAGCCACAAATTTTATTTTTACCCTCAAAAAATAGCCGCTCTTATGTAACACTTGGCTTCTGATTCTTCTTAGTAATACTGGCTCTCCATGCACCTCTGCTCTGATGCGACTTACCACTGCCTAGACGGGGAGGTCGAGCCTGAGGATACCAGCTAATACTCATTGTGCCAGAAAAGCCAACATTGAGGAAAGAGTTCCACAGAGCTGAGCAAGACCGGGAACAACAAAAGCAAAGACGTAGGCAGCAGTTTCATGGAGGGACAACTACGGGCATAGGGGTTGCAGTGATAAGGAGATGCACACATAACCGGCTGCCAAAGCTCTTGAGAATATCTTTGTCCTCAGGCAGACTGATAGGACCCATTTGGTGCAGCAGGACGAAGGCACCTGAATTAAGAAGAGCAGAGGGGAACACACACAGACATGCACGCACGCGTAGAGGCCAATAAAATGTTGCAATGTCATGTTTAATGAGAAAGACGCAGACCATACAGAAACAGGATTATATAGTACAGATTATAAATTGCTGGCAACCTGTGGTTTGATGCAAGGTGAGTCACGTAATAACTGATGCTGCTTCCCTATCGCAGCTCTGTGCTGATACTCGGCCCCAATCATGGCAAGACACATACAGCACAGAAACAGAGCATAGGCTAGTTGACTCCATGACCCTTTTTTATGCATCAGTAGCCACAGAAAGAGCCTACAAAAGGATCTAAAGTGGATGTCGTATCAGATCCCTTTACATTGCCACAATGACACCTACAAGCCCCCAAGGAATTAGCAATATAGTCCATAGCATCAAGAATAGAGGAATTAGGAAGGCATTAGAACAAGAAAATCAGGAAGGGTAATCTGAAAATGATGTAAATGGATTTTTCAGAAGATCTGAGCATCTAACGGCAGCCCCAAATGCTCAACCCTCCCTAAATGCTGTATCAGCGACATATCTACATCCTGCTTGCTATCTCCTGGACATTCTTCTTTCAGCAGTAACTCTCACTAGGTTTAGCA